TGAGCCAGGCAGGTAGCCGTGGCCTAGAAGGCCCTTTCTGATCCTGAACCCAAAACCTAGGAAGTGGGTGGGAACTTGAGAACAGGACTCTTGTCCATGCTTAGGCAGGCCGCACATATAAAGGATAAAGAAAGGTTACCTAGGCCTGGGATGGGCAGTGAGTTGGTGTTGCTACGTACTTAGACTGTATTGTGTTAAGATTCCGAGGCCAAATGCAGGCTTGCTGGGAAAGAGTGCTGTGGTTGATTAGTGATGTGTGCCAAGCCCAAGGTTTGGAGAGTTGGTGTTTACCATCCTTATCTCCAAGGCTGGATTCAGCTGTGGCAGGGAAAATGGAAGCTGGGGAGCCGGAAATGATTCAGATTATCGAGCATCTCTCATAACTAATCTCCATTCTGGAAAATTAGAAAACTGAGGTTCTAAAAGGGGGAGTGACTTACCCAGAGTCGCCCAGCCAGCTGGCTGACCCAAGCCCACTATTTATTCCACTGGAGCTTGGGAGGACAGAGTTAGGGCCCCAAACCAAATAGAAAAAAATTCTTCTCCTTTCAAAGCTCTGGTTTAGATTCAGAGATGGACCCATCCTGAGGCCTCCAACTTACTCTCTGAGACCCCACAAACCTGGATTTCCCCTCTCCTGACTAGATACCTCTCTCTCTTATCCACTAGGAATCAGCCAAAGGAAATGAACTTTGAAGAGTTTGAGAAATTCGCCAGGTCTGTACAAATCATCTCACTCTGGATCGGGGGAGGGGGGGTAGATGGGAGGAGGTCTATCCTCAATTTGTGGAGGTGCCTGGGGCTCTTCATGTTCTGTGGTGCTCTTAGCTCGGCATCTGGGGCTCAGTGCCTAGGAGCTGAGAGGCAGGAAAACAACTTCAGTGCCAGGGAGACTTTGGGTGCTCTCCATGTGTTAACTCACTTCAGTCCTCTCAACAAACCCAATTTTCAGAAGAGGAAACCGAGGAACAGAAAATTTCTTATTAAAGTCACACATCTGTTAAAGAGGTGGAGCAGGGATTTGTGAAAAATGGCTCACCTGTCCAATTTTCAAACGACGGACTAGGAAACAGAAGCATGGCAAAAATGAGACTTTTAATAACACTCTTGAGAGAGTGCCATTTTACAGGATCACACGTGAGGAAAGGAACATCGCCTCATGTATTGAGACCTCCTCCGGTTCCTCATTGGCTGAGGACTATTTGGTCACCTGTTTCCTAATAAGTCACCTAGGTTTTGCTGTCTCCCATTGGACTATTTAAAAAAAAGCGGGGAGGGGGGCTGGTGCCTTCTCTAGTTGCCTCCACCTCCCTTTGTCTAGGGCAGTGGTCGGCAAACATATTAGTCAACAGAGCCAAATATTAACAGTGCTACGATTGAAATTTCTTTTGAGAGCCAAAAACTGACTTCTGCATATGGACCACGAAGTTTCAATTACACTATACATGTGCGCCCGCACGTGGTATTTTGTGGAAGAGCCACACTCAAGGGGCCAAAGAGCCGCAGTTTGCAGACCACTGGTCTAGGCGAATCATCCTAGGACATGTGCTACCAGCCACATATACAGCTCTCATCCTCTCTCCCCACCCCACATCCTGTTTGCTTTGGGAAAATTCAGTAATGGCCTGGCCAGATGCTGTTTCTTTTCTATGAAGATAAATCAGAGGCACGTTTCTTACACATTCAATCCAGCTACACTGGCTCCAGAGGCTGTACCCTTAAGACCATATTAAAATGTTTCTAGAGAATAGATAATATCCAGGGAAAGAGTTTGGATTTTAGAGGCAGCAGACTGGAGTCTTGTCAGTGTGGAGAAATGACTTATCCTTTCTAGGCCTCTGGGTCCTTACTGGTAAGGTAGGCAGGGTAATAGAGGCATGAAATGCAATGCTACACCTCCTCTATGGTGACAGTTGGCTTGCTCTGCTGAGCTCCAGCCCTGTCCGGACCACCACCATGACAACCTTCCTTGTGTCTTCTCATTTTTCCAGGAAGCTGAAGGAGAAGAGTCCCTATGGTACAGGGCATACCCACCCCAACTTCTTCTGGCCGGGTCACCTCCTGGACAAACTGCAGCTCTACCTGCCCTCTGTGACTGTGGACCGGAGCCTGATGCTATTCAGTTGTGTCCAACAGCGGCCCCCAGCTTACCCGGTCACCTGCCACTCCCACCTGCGATGGCCCATTAGAAACAGGGACTATATGACCTGTGCTTATTCCGATGCCCCCAAGGTCATCTACAGCAACCAGAGTGGCCCAGGTGACGTCAAACCCAGCCAGCCTGGGGCTGGATACCAGTGCAGGTAGCAGCCCAGAGCCACAGACACCAGGAGTGTCAAAGAGCCAAACGGAAGAAATCATTTCAGTGGGATGGCTGGGGGCTAGCTGTCTCCAGAGAAAAGTGTCCAGGATCTCAGAGGCAGATGTGTCCAGAGAAAGAAGTGCAGTTTGGGGGTGTTTCCCTGCCCTTTTGAAATAAACCAGATTGGAGTTTTTCTCATGTCACCTGTGATCCATCTGATGTGATTTCTTGATCAGAAGCTGTGGCGAGGAGGGTGTTTGGAAAAGTTGGGGTCCTGAGCCTGAGGTAATACAACAGGCACATTCCCTGGGATATTGACGGATGCCTGCCTGGCTCCTCCAGCCTCTGATCCTGGGATCTCAGTGTCTGGGGGGAAGCAGGAGGCAGTGTGGGGAGCCCTGTGCCTTCCTCTGAGAAACACCATGTCTCTCATCCCCCCAAAAAACAGCCATTGGATTACTTCTTCCAAATCTCCTGAGTCTTTTACAATTGGAAGCATGTGCTCTGGTTCATGAACCCTTTGTCTGATTAACTCATCTGATGCTGTCAAAACCTTCTCCATTATATGGGCAGCTAGTTAAAATAAATAAATAAATAAATAAAAATTAAAAAAATAATAATATATATATATATTTTTAAAAATAATATATATATTATTTTTGTGTGTGTGTGTGTGTGTGTGTGTGTGTGTGTGTGTGTTTATTGATTTCAGAGAGAAAGGGAGAGGGAGAGAGAAATGGAAACATTAATGATGACAGAGAATCACTGATTGGCAGCCTCCTGAACACTCTCCACTGGGTATCAAGCCCTAACTCAGACATATTCCCTTGTTACAGAAGACCAGACAAAAATCAAGCAATGCTTAGAGAAATGGAGTTACACTTTATTATTATCATTGTGCGGGCCCAGGGTAAAATGTCTTTTAAATTCTGAGCAACAACATGTAAGAAGTTGTCCCTTTTATATCTTTTTCAGTCCTTTGTCTCCCAAATATGGGGTTTTCCGGTCCCCTTTGCAAGTTCTTAAAGAGCCCTATGTGCTGGGGCTTTGAGACCTCAACCAAAGGCTTGGCCTGGTGCCAGCACTGATAACTTCATCTGGGGAAGGTTTATGGCCTCTCTAAAATGGGAGTAAACAGGTCTTGCAGGACCAGACAATTCAAGAGGCAGTGACTAGATTAAGGTTGCTAGCCACCCAAAATGTCTTTTTTTGCCGATCACCCTGACCACATGACCGGGAATCGAACAGTATCCTCTTGGTTCATAGGTAGATATAGGAAGCTATTAGGACAGTGCTCCTGTGCTCTGCATCCTATGTGACTCCCCACAGACCACAGGATAAGCAGAATTCATGAGGTGTGATTCACAAGGGGTTTTAGTCTTAACTCTGTTTGCCAAATAAGTGACCAGGAACAAGACATTTGACTTCACATTTCACAATTCACTTCTTTGGGTCTCAAATTCGCCTTCCCTTTGTGTAGGGCAGTGTTTCCCAAAGTGTGGTACGCGTACCCCCAGAGGTACGGGAAGAGTTTGGTGGGGGTAGCGTTGCACCAGAGTTTGTGGGGATATGCACAGCACCGTGCTTAGCTGCGCCTAATTCTACGTTCTCATGAGTACGAGGGGTACTCAGCGTTACGAAAATTATAGAAGGGGTACACATATGTCAAAAGTTTGGGAAACACTGGTCTAAGGGAATCATCCTGCTATCATCCCTTCATAATCAAAATCTCATGATAGAGTTGGCAACACTCACTCTCCTCTCTTCTCATTCAGTTAAGAACACATCAGTTTAGCATCTGTCTCCATCTGGCCCCTGGAATTACTCCTATCAAGATCACTAATGACATCAGTATTGTGGATCCAGGGACATTTTTTTCTTCTGAAATTTGATTTTTGCACTAATCTTTAAAAAAAAAATAGATAGATAGATAGATAGATAGATAGATTCCAGAGAGAAACATCAATGAGAGATAATCATTGATAGGCTGCCTTCTGCACGCCCCCTATTGGGGATCGAACCCACAACCTGGGCATATGCCCTTGATTGGAATCGAACCCGTACCCTTCAGTCCACGGGCCAAACCAGGGCTCTATCCACTGAGCCAAACCAGCTAGGGCTTAAAACCAAAGACTAAACAAAGAATAACAATAAATAACAATAATTATAATATATTAAAAAAACAAAAAACAAAAAACAAACAAAAAAAAAACCTGGCCGTTTTAGCCTAATGGTTAGAAGAGTGGATTTTGTCAACCCCCAAATTTCACTTTCTACATTTCTGTAAAATAATATATTTACTTCGTAGAATTGTGGAAAGGATAGTAAATTCCATTGAATGGTAGCTATTTTACGTAGTCTCTCTCTCATGTCTTTTTATTTTTTTTTTTACAATAACTCACATGAGAGCATATTTTGAAGTCTCTGTTTTGCTTCCTCCTGGCCAGCAAGAGGCGCGCTTTGGAGCAGAAGACACCAGGGTGAAAAGGAAAAAAGAAAATAAGCTGGAGGCGGAAGAGCAGCTACAACTTCTGGCGGAAGTGGGAGCGCCCCCCACCAGGTCTTAGAAGCTCAGAAAAAATTCCAAATATTCTACGTAGTCCCAACAGCAGGTCTGAACATTTTTCAGTACTAGGTATTCCTAGACATTAATGTCTATTAAAACACAGGTAACCTTCAGCTTTTTTTCCAGTGTTATTTCTCTGACGTTTATTTTTGAACGACCGAGAGCCGGAAGTGCTCTCCTGTTCCCTGCCAGGACCCAGAGGTCAAGTTCCCATCAGCCCTCGCGCAGCACTTTCCCCTCTCTTCCTCGGCGCTGCCTACGGAGGTGGCAGCCATCTCCTACTCGGTGAGTTTTAATCGTCCGTCATCTGGGTCTCCGCGTTGTCCATCAGGCCCAATCGCTCCCTCGTGAGGCGGCTTGACCTTCCGAGTGGTCGTCTCGTTGGGTGTTGTCCTTGTCGCCTGGCGGATGCGCCTACAGGAGTACAACGAAGTGACCCAGCCGGTGTTGGAGGTTGGCTTTCCAGGGTGGCCGCTGGGGAACATTCTGAGCTGCGGGCAGCTTGTTTCAGCCGTCGGGGAGCGGGGCGCCGATTGAAATCAAACTGAGAGGGTCCCTCGGGCGTGGAACTATCGGGGTTTGCAGCCTCACTGGCCAGGGCCCGAGTTGTTAGCTTACTAGATCAGCGATATCCTATCGCCCACGTGTTTAAAAAGATAAAAACCTATTTCTGTTGCCCGACGCTCCCTTCCCCACAGTGTCTGGCCCTGGGGTGACTGCTGCGGCGGAACTGCCAAAAAGGGGGAGAGAGAAAGACACCGAGTTGGCGTGTCGACTCGCTCAGTTACCAAAAATTCGGTTATCGGGTCAGGATCTCTGGGAATTGGTAACTGTCGTTGTCTTTGAGGAAATCAATGGGACAGGGCTGTGCATTCACTATCTACTGTGTGTGTGCGCGAGCACGTTGAGGACACCTTGAATAAGGTAACTTCTGAGTTGATCTCCAGGTAGAATGGCATTTCCAAGGCCCAGGGGCGTTTTAGAAGTTCACCTACACGTTTCTCTTTACCAAACGTCTGCCCTGGTCTGGGCATGGCGCGCGTTCAACGTGCACTAGTATCTCCGTTTTTAATAGGTGAGAAAACAGATCCCAGTTCCTGTAGTTTGTCAAATGCCGGCATAACTAAAAGGAAATCGGACCAGCTGGGTGTTGGGACACTGGCGTAGGATTTGCTGCCCCTTTGCCTGCTGAGAACGCTTGGGGACCAGTTTGTTTTAAATCAGTTATTGGGATTTCTTCTTGGCTTGGAGTGAGCGAGGTGACCCCTAACCTCCCAGGACCGCGTCTGGCGAGTGGCTCATATTCTGCCAGCTTCGGAGACGGGAGGAAAAACAGGCCTGGCAGAGGCACCCATTCCATTCCCTGCTTGCTCGGTAGCTGGTGATTGGAAGGCACTCTGCGACAGTGAAGCCGTGGGCAAGGAAAGCCTCTTTTGGGGGCTGTCTTTTGTTTCAAGGTACCTGTCTCTCTTAAAGGCACCATGGCTGCCCTCAGACCCCTCGTGAAACCCAAGATTGTCAAAAAGAGGACCAAGAAGTTCATCCGGCACCAGTCAGACCGATATGTCAAAATTAAGGTATGCGGCCTTGGGTTGGACGCGGAAGTGTATATCAGGGTGAAGAAAAGGGTCCTTGAATCAGCTGTTGGGTTTCTGACATCCTCTTTGGCAAATGAATCAACGAGTCTGGTTGGTGGAGGAGCTCACTGTAGAAACCTAGGCCTTTATTGGAACTCTGCCTCTTGGAATGTAAATTGGAATTTAAGTGACACAACTCACTTGATTGTTTTGAGGCTTATATCCTTTCAGGTGGTATGAGGGGTAATTATCCTTATTTTATAGATGAGAAAACTTAACTCTTGAGGGCAATGTGGAAACCCTTTCTTTTCATTGTAACTGTACCCAATCGCCTCATGTTCCATTGGTGTGTGATATGCTTTTCCTTAGGAGTGTGAATGTGGGTCCATTCTCCTGTTGTGCAAATACCGGAGCCCTTTATTTCTTCACTAATAATATATAAAGAAATGGTGAAATCCTGTAACCCAAAGACTGCTACTGTTATTTCTCATTTGGTCCCCTTTTTTCTTCCAGAAGGAAGAGTTGGCAGTCTGCATAGGCACTAACCCACCTATTTGTTTTTCAGCGGAACTGGCGGAAACCCAGAGGCATTGACAACAGGGTGCGGAGAAGATTCAAGGGCCAGATCTTGATGCCCAACATTGGTTATGGGAGCAACAAGAAAACAAAGCACATGCTGCCCAGTGGCTTTCGGAAGTTTCTGGTCCATAACGTCAAGGAGCTTGAAGTGCTGCTGATGTGCAATAAGTGAGTTGGATCCCTCTGCCCCCACCCCCCACCCCCGGTTCAGATGCCAGAAGCACACATCTGAGCATTTTTGGTAGGGACTCCAGACCTTTCAAAATGCATGTGGAGTTGTATAGTCTCTCAGGAGCTTAGTGGATGCTTCTTGGGGACTTTAAAATGCTTTTGGGGGGAATGTGAGGGAGGGCATGATGGCTTGTCCTGAAAAGTGTAGAGACTCAAAAAGGACTTGTTAACACTACAAACACTGCTGTGTCATTTGGGCAGTCATTTCCAGAACGGGGCTTTATTTATGTGAGCGGTAGCCTTAAACTGGCCACAGCTATCTTCAGAATGGTGGAGTGCTGTCTGATGCATAGAGAGTGTGATCAGAGGGAGAGAAAATGAAGACTACAGGCAGAGGGCACTTAAATAATGTATAGATGCAAAAGTGAATTGAGTCACAACATTGCTTTCTCGTTGTTTTAAGAAAGACACTTGGTGGGCCCTATGTGAGACTTTGGTTTGCTTAGGGCCATGGTTGGCAAACTTGGGCTCATGAGCGACATGCGGCTCTTTGGCCCCTTGAATGTGGCTCTTTCATAAAATATCACAGCCTGGGCGAGTCTATTTTGAAGAAGTGGCATTAGGAGAAATTTAAGTTTAAAAAATTTGGCTCTCAAGATATTTCAATCGTACTGTTGATATTTGGCTCTTGACTATTGAGTTTGCCAACCATTGGCTTAGGACAAACCTAGAACATTGTGGTGAGAAAATAATGTTCATGGGAAGGCACAGGTAATAAAAATGAAACTATTTAAAAAAAATAATTCTTTATTATTGAAAGTATTACATCCCCTTTTCCCCCATTGTCTCCCTTTAGCTTGCTCTGCCCCCCCGCTTCAGCACCCTATTGTCTGTGTCCATGGGTTATACATATATGCATAGAAGGTCTTTGTGAAGCCTTATTTGGTTGAGTTTCTAGGTTGGAGATTTAACCAGGCATGGAAATACTGGAAATTCTCTTTAGAAAAGATGAGCATTGGGATTAATGTTGGTGGAGGCCCAATCTAATACCTGTTGTGTAGCAAAAAATGCATGTAGTGAAAATGTTGCAGTATCAGGAACCATGATTTTTAATCCACAAGTTTTTGGGCATTTATCCTTAAATAATTAAAATGCAGTGAAATTTTATAAACTGATCATTGCAACAGTAAGTGAATAATTTGTAAATATAATACATGTATTTAAAAATGTCACATATAAAAAATGCTCAAGCACCAGGGAAAGTATTTAAAATATGTACAGTGTGATTATTACATACATATAGATAAGGATATGGTGAGTTTTTTAAAAAATGGGGGGGAGCCCCAAAGTGTAATATAACAAGTCAATCACTCCTTAGTCTTCCAGAGATAGTGTCTTAATCCACCTTTTATGGCTTCAAATCACCTCCTTACTGAAATTTGTTCATTAGACCAATTTGTTATATGTTTAGCTGTGAGGAATGGATGAGACCAGTTCCTGGTATACACATGCTCAGGAAATGTAAGATATTGCTACTCACTGGGTGGCTTAAGCCAATGTTACTTTCAACTTGAATTATATCTGCGGCAGTCAAGTAAAACATTTATGGTCTGGATCAGGGAGCTCTCGGATTGATTACACTGTTGGAATCTGCTCTGCTACTTGCATTTCCAAGACGGGGGCAAGTCCAAGCTCCCTGAGACTTCCCTGAGTTGGGCAGTTTGGCCAGAAAGACTGAGGGAGAATCTCAACCTGGGGTCTAGGGCTGAGCCATCCTGGCCCTGTTCATTATTGCATTGTGATTTGGAAATTCACTTCCACCTCTTGTCTGTAAATTGGAGGGGATAACGTGTCTTACAGTTTCTGTGAGGATTAAATAGGGGGTAGTGAGAGCTTTGCTAGTACTGTGGAACTTGGGGTGTGCTGTGGCTCTGGAGGTGAAGTGACCAAAGCTGTCGCTTCCCAGTGGAACACACAGTGTTCTGGGCTGGCTTGTTTCTTACCTACTTATTGGTTCTCTTCCAGGTCTTACTGTGCTGAGATTGCTCACAACGTCTCCTCCAAGAACCGCAAAGCCATTGTGGAAAGAGCAGCCCAGCTGGCCATCAGAGTCACCAATCCCAATGCCAGGCTGCGCAGCGAAGAAAATGAATAGACAGATTGTGTACACATTGTATTTGTGTTAATAAAATCATAAAATTCTGCCATCTGGCATTTCCGCCCTTGGTTTTACTCTCCAGTTTCTCTGACAGCTTGTCAGAGATTGTTCTTTTGCCTGTTAATGCTCTGAAATCTGCCATTTGGAAGGATACTCAATTCTTCACAGGCACTGGTCTTAGGTGCCCAGACCAGCCTTGGTCAGCTCCAGTTAGGGCTGCGGAATACTTGGCTCTCAGACCAGGTAGGTTCTGAAACTTCATTGAGGGACCTTGCAGCTCGGAGCAAGCTCTTTCTTAGTCTCACTTTTTGTAAAGTTGAATAAATTCTGTGGTTCTTGTGGAGATTGAGAAAATGCATAAAAAGGATCCAAGTAAAATGTCTTCATTAAATTCTTGTTCGGTGTTGAAATAGGACCATATAGCTTCTGTCCAAAAATACAAAACAGGGTAACTCAAATCCCTCTATAATGATTCACCCTGAAAGTCACATGAGGTGTGGTATGTGGTACTGCAGTACAGCTATTCTCATCCCTGGCACACAAACTAAAATGTGACACCAAATATCTTGGCAGATCTGGCCAAAATAGGTATAATAGTGTATCTTCACAATCCTGGTTAACTGAGCCAGGAATAAAAATTTTCCTGGTGTGTTAGCCATGCCTGGATGTAAGGCTCACTCTTTGAGTAGATAAATGTCTTACAGGTTGATGATTTCTTTCAATTGACTTGGGACATGTACTAATAAGTGGTAAGAATTGTGCAGAGAAAATTGTAGCTTAGGATCTCCTTTATTAACCTATTTTCTGATAGCACAGAAAATTCTTTGGCCTATCGCAAAATTCTAGGAGTTTCTAAAAGACACATTCAAACCTTAGAAGGTCATAAACCGGCTGGTTATGCCTAGGTGGGGTGACATGAAAGTGGTTTGCACTTAATAGTGTTTTGCTGTTAACCAGCTCATTTCATAAAGGGTTTTGAAATTTGAAACATTAGGTGTAATTCACTACCCACACAAGAAAACCTTTCAGATTTATTACTGCCTATTAGAATCTTTTTATTCTAAAATAACTCAAAAAGTATGAGTTTTTAAGTTGCCCAGCCAAAGCACTAATTCAATGAATTGTAAAAAGAGTGGTATGGAAGAAAGGCCAGCCTGCTGCCTTCTAACCTCACAGCTGTGAGCACAAGAGGAAAGACAAGTATTTTGTGAAGCAGTGCCTCCCCAGCTTGAGAACTAGATTAGTGTGAATTCACACTGAAAAATTACATCCCAGTGCTTTGAGTGGCTGTCCTGAGTTAAAGGGCCCAACTGTTGGCAGCCTTACAGCTCCTGGTTGGGGAACCTATGAGTTAGGGTCCCTGGAGAAGGCACTGTAAACCCCAAAGAGGAATAGGAGGGCCCCCAGGGAGATGAAAGGGTTAAACGCCAGTGGCCTTTGGTGGTGGGAGAGAGGCTGGTACCTCAGGCCTGGGTGGGCCCCCTTCTCTTTAGGAAGGCCCATCTAGGGGGTGGGCTAAGACTAGCTGAGATCCATTGAGTCTGTGTTGGCTGAAACAGAATCCTTCTGGATGCTCTCAAAGAGGGTGGCAAGTTCAGGGTTGGATCTGATTTGGGAAGAGAAGTCGGCCATGATGGGGCTTTTCCCCACTTCTGGGATGGTCAGCAAGGCGGCCACTGCCCTCATGGCAGAGCGCTTCAGTTCATCTTGCTTCTCAAACTCCTGCTTCACAGAACCAGCTTTGACCTAAAGTGGGAAACAACAATGAGCCATCCTTGAATGAGCCTGTCCTTGCACCACAGTCTGGCTTTCTCTCCACCACCTGTGGCACACTCCCCTGCTTCACCACCTCTGGTTCTAGCCTCCTGAGGGCTCCCTCCACCTCTGGGCTTCCTCATGCAAATCAGCTTCAAAGTCACCCAAAGGGCCTTGAGTAGCCAATCTAAATTACGTTTATTTTTTATAATAAACCCAAGGTGCTAATTCGTGTGAAATGTTCACTCTGTTACCTCATCCCCACCCTCTCCTATCTAGAGAATCTTAGAAATTCTCCTATGCTTATGGAATAAAGGCCTTAACCCAGACAACACTAGTCTCTTCGCCCTCAAAACCTAATGGCTAAGGACTTGGAATGGGGTTGGACAGTCCTGTGTTCAAATGGCTCTGCCGGTGAGAGCTGTGACTTCAGGTAGAAACTTTTGTCCCTCACTTCCCCAACTATAAATAAGAGCCTCGTCTTATAGGGCTGCTACGAGGATTAAAGGACCTTGCATGCCCACACCCCTTCTCTGAAACCCTTAACACCAGATGTGCTTTTGAAATTAAGGAATTTGAGGGGTTTTAGAAAGGCAATAGTATGCAGATATCAGGCAATAGTCTGATACAATACCCTGTAATCAAATACACTACTATTTCCCCCACTAAGTTTAGGGGAAAATGTAAGAATATTATGAATATCATAAAGAGGGAAATAAGGTCATAAACAGCCTGGTGCCCATTCAAGTTAAGTTCTGGTGCCAAACAAGTTACTATAGTCTTTTAGTTTCCAGAGCTTTGTAGGGTTCAGAATTGTGGGTGAAGGGTTGGGGACATGGATGTGACAAGCTCTCATCACTGTGCTCAACAAACAGCATCCTCTGAGCAGCCAGACTGAGCGGCTTTCTGCAGGCTCAGGTGAAAGCGAGGGAAGGGTGTCCTGACCCTGCGATGCCATTTGCAGCTCCTTCTGTGAACTGGATTTTTCTCCATGCAGTATGGTTCAAAGTACACCAGAGAAATTTGGCCACAGAGACTGTCAAGAGTTCAGTAGGCCTGCAGTACCACTGTTTTCCTTGACTTCATACTAAGTATACATTAAAAATAGAAATTTGCAAGGCAGGTTTCTATTAATAAGTTACCAATTTTATCCACATAAATTTTTTTTGAAAAGGTATTACTGCTTGGAAATTACTGCTTAAGAGTGTCATTCTTCATTAAGCTCCAATCTGAAATACTCTGCCCTCCTTGTGATTAAGTCTTTTGCTCTTCCAAAACCCAAATTAATTCTTCACTCAATAGGTATTTACTGGGTAATTTAACCTCTAAGTGTGCCAGGCTCTGTTCTCAACACTGCAGCTTTCTATGAGACCTTTTGCCCCGGATCCTTACCCTGGACCCTTGAGGCACTCCAACTCTGCCCCCATACTAATCAATCAGTTAACAAATGATTTCTGTCTATGAGTGCCTCAGTTTCCCAATTCGGATGTGAGAAGAGGGAGTCCCTCATGTTCAATGCTGTGTCCCTAGTACCTTGCACAAGGCCTGACACACAGGAAATATTTAATGAATGACAGACGGAGCTGGGTTTGAATCCTAGCTCTGCAATTTACTAGCTGTGTATCCTCAGCCAACAACTTGGCCTCTCCGAGCCACTGTTCCCTGTGTAGACAACGGTAAGAATAAGAAGTAGTAAGAACTACTTCATTGGATGACGAGGATTAAAATAAGCCCCTCCCACACCACCTGTACCTCAGGAGGTTCTTGGTAAATGGTAACTGAACGATCAGCAGAGGGCCTATAGGGCCGGACAGGGGCTTACTTTGGCAATACAGGTGGCCCTGAGTGGCTCGATGAGCCGGTCCACCCTCTGCAGGACAGGCACAGGACACAGGGTAGCCAGTCGTGCGAGCATGATGAAGGTCAGCATCTGCCCGGGAGGAAGGAGACATTGGCCAGAATGGGAGAGAAGAACAGAAAGACTTGCTCAAGCGTGGGAAAAACCCATGAGAAATAACTCACTTTTATCACGCAGTGGGTCTTGGTCATCTTTCACATCAGTACACAGAGAACTAGCTCACTTTTTTAAAAAAGATATATTTTATTGATTGATTGATTGATTGATTGATTTTACAGAGAGGAAAGGAGAGGGATAGAGAGTTCGCAGGCCAATGCTCTACCCACTGAGCCAAACTGGCTAGCTCACTCTTTAATGTGGCGAGGATTCCATGACTGGAGGTACCCAGTTTATGGAGCCAGTTCTCCATAAGTGGACATTTAGATAGCTGCCAGATTTTCCCAATGACCAGAAATCAGTGAAGAAAAATCTTGAACATAAAACTCTGAACATGTGCAGGAATTAGTTCAGAAGCTCATGGATATGGAAAAGCTGGGCCAAAGGGTATGTCTGAGAATTATAAATTGTTCTAGTTATTGCCAAACCATCCAAGAGCTTGCCAGTGTAGACTCAAGCCAAAGGTGTTTGAAACATGGGTTCTTTTTTAAAAAAATATGTTTTTATTGGCCGAAACCGGTTTGGCTCAGTGGATAGAGCGTCAGCCTGACTGAAAGGTCCCGTGTTTGATTCTGGTCAAGGTACATTCCCAGTAAGGGGTGTGCAGGAGGCAGCTGATCAATGTTTCTAACTCTCTATCCTCTCCCTTCCTCTCTGTAAAAAAAATAAATAAATTTAAAAAAAATTAAAAAGTCAATAAATATATTTTTATTGATTTCAGAGAGGGAGGAAAAGGGAAAGAGATAGAAAGATCAATAATGAGAGAGAATCACTGATCGGCTGCTTCCTGCATGCCCCCTACTGGGGATCGAGCCTGCAACCTGGGTATGGCCTTTGACCAGAATCAAACTCAGGACCCTTCAGTCCGCAGGCCAAGGTTCTATCCATTGAGTTAAACCAGCTAGAGTGAGACGTGGGTTCTTATCAGAAAAAAAACAAACAAAAAACAGCTATTTTCATGGGGGTTCCTGGGGCAGGAAGTGAGGACAAGCAGTGGGCCCAGTGGTGCCTGGCTGTCCCCTCGGCATGGGGTGGGCATGGTGCTGGCAGGGGCTCATCCTACCCGGATGTCGTAGTGGTCCTTCAGGCCGTCCTCCACGTGGTTCAGGAACTCGCAGATGGCCAGCTGGCCCAGGCAGCTCTCGAGCAGCGAGTACATGCACTCGAAGGCCGCCTTCCGCACGTCCAGCCCGTCGTCCACGGTGTGCTTAAAGGGTCCCATCTCCACCTGCGGGGGGGAAGGATGTGATCCAGAGTACAGGAACACCTCCCCCAGTTCC